GCCGTTGCATGCGGCCACTGTCTTCACGTTCATGGTCGATTCCTCAACAATTGCCGCAGCTCGACCATCAGCGTCCATTTGTCGAGCGCTTGCTCTGTCTATTTGCTAAAACTGCGCTTTTAAGAGTGTCATGAATTTTTCGTTTTTACGCTCAATGAGCGGCTAGTCGTAAGTGCGGCTACTGACCGATCTACTAACTCGTTATCACTGATATGGAGTTTTTTCTCCTCTTAAACTTCAAAGGGCTTTCTGTTTTTGAGCATAAGATCGACAGTTTCCTTGAAATCCTATAGAGGAATGTCATGGCTAACTGAATATACCTAGGCCAGCAATCGATGGACCCATTCAGACCTTTTCAGTCATCCATTATTTTGAGGAATTACATGAAGTGCTAATAGGGACCCACTAAAAAGCTAATTCAATAGTTTAAGATCAAATTAGCTTGCCAAATGCGAAACTACTGGATTTCAATCAAAAGACGCACCCGTGCCATGAAGGAAAGGAGTGCGGCCGATACAGGTCCCAAGCCGAACATAACCAGCGTTACTCTCCAGTTGTAGATAAAACCAACTATAATACCGGTTAAAAACATTGTCATATTGCGCACTATCAGGCCCACTTTATCGCCGATACCATCCCTGATTTTGTTGATATTCCTGCAATTAGTGAACGTCTACGTTAAAAATCAAAAGCGCCTCCGTATTTCCCTTGTAATCAGAAATTGACGATCGCGCGTTCTCGATTATTAGCTTTCAGTGAAGCATATCACAGAGATGAATGAAAACGATTTCAGTGATTTGGGATTCGTTGGTGACTTACTCATTAAGCTGAGCGGTAAGTGTGCCTGCTTTTTGCTGATCAAACCATGCAGCGTCTTGCCGCAGCAGTGACTTGATGTATTCGCCGCGAATTGTGCAGGAAATATTTAGAGCCGCATTTCTGAGACACATGTACTGCAAATTACCGAGTAAAAAGAAGCACAAGCAAAAAATAGTTAGGCAAGCCAGGATAAACGTTTTCTTTTTAAGCACTCGCAGCATTAGCTGCATCTTTGAATGCTCGTTTGCAAATCCTGAGCGCTAACCAGTCGTGTCATCAGACTCAAAGGTAGATGAACAAACGGATGAAGACCAAGTCTAGCAGAATCCTAAGATTTGCTCTGTTGACACTGCGCTTAAATTTCGCGCTTTGCAAGAGCAAGGCTAAAATTCTATAAAAAAGAATTAACACATTCTTTATTATTAAACTGCCCTTCACATCATTTATCACTATTATAATTATTTTGTCACCATTACAATTATTTTCATTATTATTGCCATTATTTCCTCCTCTATCCCGGTCCACAGCAGTGCCATTACTATTTATAATTAGAGAATAGCGGAAATCAACACGAAACTGTTTTTACTACCTGAATTAATTTCGCGGCTAAACTGTTTTTATAATTTGTATAATACGGAAAAAACTGATGTGTGGGTATGACGCTGCGTGATGCTACTAAGACTTTCAAAAAAATTTAATCGTAGCTCCGTGCGTCGTTTCGTACTGAGATTTCGGGGAGGAATCAAGATTGCTGAGCCTAGCACGATGCAAAACAACTACGCTCTCAAAAGTTCAAACAGTTTTCAAAATATATTTGGACAAGCTACACATGTGCAAACAATAAACACTATCTCATTGTGGAGCGGCTTTTTTTTTAATTATGAAAAATATGCAAAAAGAGTAAAAACAGATGAGAACAAACATGCGCAATGGTGACAATAACCGTCGTGACTCCAACGGATCCATAAACATACACGTATACGTAAGCATGGTACCAAAATGCATCCGATCCAACAAACTGCAAATATATTTTCGCCCTTACAGAACAGGCAAAAAATTCATCTTTTCAAAATTCAAATTTTCCGGTTTCAAAACTTTTTTGATGTCCAGTCTCCCGCGCTCCAAGAAGTCCTAAATTTAGAAACCCTCCTCGGGTGGCTTTGCTTGCTTTAGTTTTAGCTTGCAAATTTTTTAGCATGAAAGAATCTATTCTCCTGGGATTTTTTGCAGAATTGGTCTGTCCCCACCAAAGTTTCAAAATCGTGGCTAATGATTAATTAGCAGTCAAGACATTAAGCGATAATGGCTTAAATTTCTACAAACAAGTCCAAAAAAATTCTGCTTCCAAAGAGAAGTGCTAAGAAAACGCACATCTTTTGTGAGCAGTAGAATGTTGCAAAGCTCGCCGACGATGAGGCAAACCATAGGTTGACCGATACCAGTCAGTACTGCTAGAAATATGCCTATCGCAACGAGAAATTTATCAAACGGCGTTGCGAAGCGAAACTGAAAAGCAGCTTCATTTGCTCCAAGTAATCATTTGAAAAACTCAATGTAACGACCTACTTTTTCTTGAAAAGACTCTCGTTTCGTGTTTTAAACTGTTTGCGGAAGCTTCAGTCTTGTAAATCGAGGAACACGGAATTTATTAGGATTATCAAGTGCGGCGGAAAACCTCCACAAAAAAGCCGGAAGCCTCCACTAAAAGAAAAAGAGAAAAGAAAGGTATACTTTGCCATGTAAGGCAGATACACAATAGATGTGCTGCCAGGCTGAACCTGGATCAAGAGAACCGGTGGTGTGGTGGTAACAAGTTGCATTCGGGTATGAAGAGAAGTGGTTTGATCCCTCTCGGTCCAGAACAGTTTTCGAGAAAGGAATCCGCTCACAACACCAAGGTGAATGCACTAGGGATCAGATGTTAGCACAGGCTCCTATACTTCGCGATTATCAGTATCAGATGCACCCTTTGTGCGCGCCATTTGTGCATAATTATTACGACAGTCTTTTGAGCAACTTGTAGTATCGAAAAAATAAAAATCCTGGACGCCCGCTGAGTTCTGGTCTTAGATGCTGCTTGAGCTCGAGTTTCCTCAAAAATTCGTTCAATTCATGTAGTAAAACAAAATTTTGAGTTTATAAGTGCGCTTTGCAAATGTGCCACAACACCGAACTGAGGTTGTAGTTTAACAATGAATTATCAGAGGCGAAAATTTCCGGTGCACTTTCTGGAAGGACACTGTCCCTCTTTTCTGCTCGCACCATCCCTTTCCTAGCTTAGCGACCACCAAAAAAGTATTTGAAACAAATTACCAGTTGGATGAAGGAAACTGGTTTTGCCTCGAGTTTTTGTTTTGCAAAATCGCTTCTGCAAATATTTCACGACAAAATCAATATAAAGTTATTTAGTTTTAGCTTGAAATGTAGGTCTTAAACGAGGAAATTTTAAGCAAATTTGCACCGAGAATGGCCCAAATAGGCCTTGGCAACTTGAATTCAAACTATTAGTTCTATTAAAGCAAATTTCTGAAACTATGTGCAGAATTTTTTGCAGCTCGCAGAAAACCCACAGTTTTTGAAGAATGTAAAAATTATACTGCTGAACCGCCTATTCCGCTTGTTTTTTAGCGAACATGCGAACGAAGGAAGCATCAATAGGCCCTGACTACAACCAATTACCGTCACAAAGCAAACAGTCAGGCCGTTTCCCAGTTCAACTAACTTTATATTTTGATCGAGATCTCTCAAAACAACCAAGGTTATGGGCCTCGCGTTTTGCGAAGATAAAGAGATGAACAGGCTAGCATCAGGGGCTATAACTGCAGTCAGCACCTATTTCAAAAAATAAGCCATTTTGTGCTTTTGTGAGCAACGAAACTAAAACTACTCAAGAATTTTGATAATGGGCCGTACCTGCATAGGATGGTGCTGATAATTTTATCAATGGTGCTCTGCTCATATTGTGCTCCGAAAGCATCCGATTCTGCATTCCCAGTTATCAGAACTGTCATTGTTCCAGTTTTGTTTGCTTAGTTATGCATTAAATTCATAACGGATCAAAAAGTGTCTGCAAGAAGCATTCGCCAGGCTTAGAAGGAAAATAGAAAACCTAATAAAACACTCGCATAGGATATCCTTGTGGGTACGACAGAAAACAAAGAATCGATGGACAAAAGCTTTAATCCGTATCTCAATTAGCCGGTGGCTATCGTACATGAACAAATCAAACGGTAGGCGAAAAAAAAA